ATTCAACACCATTATCGCAGACATCCTACTACCGTACTGGCCCAGCAGGAAGCAGCAGGTGAGGCTGGGGAAAACCACATCCAGTACCCAGACTATCAGCACAGGTGCCCCATCCCCTCCCAGGTATGTGTGCTCTCCCCACTGCTGTTTTCCCTCTACTCAAATGGCTGCACCTCAAAGGACGCCTCTGTTAAACTCCTGAAGTTTGCAGATGACACAACAGCCATCGTTCTCATCTATGACGATAATGAGTTGGCCTACAGACAAGAGGTTGAACAGTTGGTCCTGTGGTGCGGTTGCAACCACCTGGAGCTGAGCACACTCAAAACAGTGGAGATGACAGTGGACTTTAGGAAGAGCCCCACCACCACCATCATACTCAGCAGCACTGTATCAGCAGTGCTTCAAGTTCCTGGGCTCCACAATCTCCCAGGACCTGAAGTGGACGTCCGATATCAGCATCATCAAAAAGGCACAGCAGAGGATACATTTCTTGCACCAGTTCAGGAAGTTCAACTTGCCCAAGGATCTGCTGATACAGTTCTATGGAGGAGTCATTGAGTCTGCTCTCTGCTCATCCATCACTGTCTGGTTTGGTTCAGCCACCAAACAGGACAGGAACAGACTCCAGCAGACAGTCAGGACTGCAGAAAGAATCATTGGTGCCGGCCTGCACTCCATGGAGGACCTGTACACCTCACGGATCAAATGGCAGGCAGAGAACGTCTCTGCAGACCCCTCACACCCTAGACATAAACTGTTTGAACTTCTCTCCTCTAGACGGTGCTACAGGTCACTGTGCGCCAAAACAGCCAAACACAAAGACGGTTTCTTCCCTCAGGCTGTCACTCTGATGAACAGTTAATCCATGACTGTATAACAAAACAACAACCCTCAGTGCAATACCTTGTAAATATACATTGTACATATAGATCCACTGAATCCAGACTGTATGTGTGTGTGTATTTATATATATATAGGTCTCTATTTATAAGTACTTTACTCTTATTTTTATCTATTTTCCTAATGCACATTCCTTTGCTTGTTGATATGTACAGTCAGGGAAAAAATTATTTGAACCGCAGCTGATTTTGTAAGTTTGCCCACTAACAAAGAAATGATCAGTCTACAATTTCAATGGTAGGTTTATTTGAACAGTGAGAGACACAACAATAACAAAAACAGAAAAATGCATTACAAAAAAAATTATAAAGTAATTTGCATTTTCATGAATGAAATAAGTATTTGATCCCCTATCAGTCAGCAAGATCTCTGGCTCCCAGGTGTATTTTATACAGGTAAGGAGCTGACATTGGGAGCCCTCTCAGCTCGTTACCTGTATAAAAGAGACCTGTCCACAGAAGCAATCAATCAATCCAGATTCCAAACTCTTCACCATGGCCAAGACCAAAGAGCTTTCCAAGGATGTCAGGGACAAGATTGTGGACCTACACAAGGCTGGAATGGGCTACAAGACCATCGCCAAGCAGCTGGGTGAGAAGGTGACAACAGTTGGT